TGGGGGTGTACTCAGTGGTATAGTGCTTGCCTAGTACATGTGAAGTACTGGGTTCAATCCTCAGCACTTCATAAAAACAAATAAATAAAATAAAGGTTATAAAAAAAAAAAGAAGAATGCAGGGCTGGGGGCCATAGCTCATCGGTAGAGTGCTTGCCTCACATGTGTGAGACACTGGGTTTGATCCTCAGCATCACAGAAAAATAAATAAAATAAAGGCATTGTGTCCATCCTCAAATAAAAAATATTTTTTAAAAAATGCAAAAACAATTTCTTTTATTTAAAAAAGGATAAAACTTCCATGAAATAGAAAATAAACTTGATTAACTCATTAATTAAACTTCCATCTTAAAAAAATCATTTATCTGAATAAACCTTGGTAAGTGAAACTGAATCTCACAAAATAATACAATTAGGAGCACACAGTTTCTTTGGGATTTAAAAAAACACAATTGATTCAACTACAGCTTAACAGATCTCACTGCAAAATGAGTTGAGCAATTAAAGCTATTTATAGATAAGTATGATTAAATTATGGATAAATAATAATTCAACTGAATAAAGTCCATTTATTAAGTAACCAAACTGTTCAAGGTTCACAATTATGTAGAATGAACTTCTAGATTTTTCCCCCATATTTAAGATTTTACATTTTCCATCACTTGATGTAGAAATGAGTGATCTGTATAAATGTAAAATGACTGAAAGTGTTAGGGATATTCCATTTAACTCAATTCAAGAAATCAAAAGCTTTCATCTATGGAAACTTTGTGACAAAAAACTCAGTACATTTGTTTTGTTTAAAAAAACAAAAACCTGCTTTTGCCTTTGATTTCAAATATGTTATTTGAAGGCTGGAAAGCATAAACTTTTTTAAAAAAATAGAAATACTTGTAATCGAATTACATTTTTTAAAAATTCCATTAGTTATTGATGGACCTTTATTCATTTATTTATATGTGGTGCTGAGAATCGAACCCAGTACCTCACACATGCTAGGCAAGCACGCTACCACTGAGCCACCACCCCAGTCCTCAAATTACATTTTTTAAAGGAAAAAAAAAAATCCAAAAATCTTGATGTAAAGCTATGGAAATAGTTTTTTCACAACTTCATAAAAAATTAATGAAAGGTTATATAATATCCTGGATTAAAAATTGTAAAGAAAGCTACAAGGATCTCTTTCAGTTTTCAAGATTGATTTTTGTTCTTATATCCATAAAAACAGATCTAAATCAACTCTATCTTTTTTTCAAATAAATCATCTAGTTTTCAAAAGAAAAAAAATCAAATCAAGAAGAACATAAAACATTCTTTTAAAAATTTTTTAGTAGATGGACACAATACTTTTATTTATTTATTTTATTTTTATGTGGTGCTGAGGATTAAATCCAGTGCCTTATACATGTGAGGCAAGCACTCTGCCACTGAGCCACAATCCCAGCCCAATGTACATATTCTTAATATAACTTTGCATAAATACTGTGGATTACCTTTAGGTTCCTCAAACAAATTAAATTTACAACATATGCCACAACCAGTTCACTCTCTGGGGAGAAAACCAATGAAACAAAAGCTCCTGCTTAATAAACAATTGTCTTTGTAGGTAAGCCTCTTTCCCAGTGCATTTTTCTGTCAAGTATTAACACCATTTTCTTCTCTCTACAGAAAGCTAGAAATCATATTGCGGTTCCCTTAAAAATGTATTTTGTATTAGGTCAAGAAAAAAGCCAAGAAAATATTTTGACAGTCTAAACACAAAATACCTTTCCACTTTGTTTTGAAATGTTTCTTATTTTATTTTTGTTTACTTTCCATATCTGAAATGTTCTCAAATATTTCAGTGTCAGTTGTTTACTGTCAATACATCTGTGTACACTTAGGGTTTTTTTTTTTTTTTTTTTAAGAGAGAGTGAGAAAGGAGAGAGAGAGAGAGAGAGAGAATTTTTTTAATACTTTTTTTTTTTTTTTTTTTAGTTCTCGGCGGACACAACATCTTTGTTGGTATGTGGTGCTGAGGATCGAACCCGGGCCGCAGGCATGCCAGGCGAGCGCGCTACCGCTTGAGCCACATCCCCAGCCCCAAGGGTTTTTATATTTTATTATTATTATTATTACAGACAATGCTTTACAGTATAGTGTGGGGGTGTAAACAAGAGGGCTCAAGTGAAACAAAAGTGGAAAAACAGCAATTTCTCTTAAGTCCTTAAGGCAAAAGATTCTCAATATCCAAAAATATGGAGTCAGAGGCACAACACAATATATAACACCAACACAAGAGAAACCAAATCAGAAACCAAAAAAATTAATGAAATGTCATCATCTGAGATAGGATAACCTATCTAAAGATCTATGAGTAAATAACCCAGCGCTTAGATATTAGAGAGTTGCTCTTACTATACTGAATGGCTCAAGAGTTTCTCAAACTTTGAATTTAAAAGTTCATTTTACATTGTGACCTAGTACAAACAAGTTTGAGAAATTTCCTAAAATAATACTTTTCCTTACCAACTAGTTTATTCTGTTCTACTTCATTGTATTTCCCATGCTGATGTAATCTGGAAATTTGATTTTATAAATTACTAACTAATCATGATCCAAAGTTTTAAAAACAGGCTTAAAAAAGGGTACCCTGGGGCTGGGGGTGTAGTTCAGTGGTAGAGACTTGCCTAGCATGAAATATATTTAAAGGGGGGGGGGGGATGTCACCTATCCTTTATAATAGGATCCTTTTTGCAATTTGCCTCTAATTGTTTCTTTTGCAGGATGGGCAGGTAGTTTCAGGCTGCTAATTATTACTATTTCCTTAAAAGCAAGTAGTTCTTAAAGTACAGTCCCTTAACCAACATAAGCATCACTTGAGATAAATATAAATTCTTGGGTCCCACCCCAGATCTACTGAATCAGAAACTCCAGGTGGAGCCCAGCATGGTGGCACCTGCTTGTAATTGCAGCTACTCAAAGCTGAGGCAGGGGGATCACAAGTTCTAGGGCTGCCTGGGCAATTTAGTGAGACCAGCAGTCAAAACAAAATTTAAAAGGGGTACTCACCCCTTTTGTGGCCCAGCTCAGTGGGATACTGCTCACCTAGCCTGCACCAGGCCTTGGGTTCAAACCCCAATACCACAAAACAAACAAAAACAAACCCCAGGTGGGGCCAAACAATCTGTAGTTAGCAAGTGATTCTGAGGTTAAAAAAAAAAAAAAAGTTTGAAGATCTCCACCTTAAAGAACTCAGATCTTTAGCCTCTACTCAACAATCCAATTCACAGTCACTAGTCTAAAAGCTCTACAAACACTAACATGTAAAAATAAATAAAAATTTAGAACCCTATTAAATAAAAACTGTTAGTAATTGGGGGAATTCTGGCACCAAAGGGCATGCCTGCAATCCCAGCTTTTCAGGAGGGTAAGGCAGAAGGCTCACTAAATTCGAGGCCAGCCTGGGAAATTTAAAAGACTATCTCAAAAAAAAAATTTTTAGAAAGAGTCAGGGATGTTGCTCAGTGACAAAGTGTTTGCCCATCACGCCTGTGGCCCTGGGTTCAATATCCAACACTCCAAAACAAAACCAAAAAACTATCAGTCTCCCTAATATACAGATGAGAAAACCACAGAGTTAAGCTGATCAAGCCAGGTGGTGGAACTAGAATTTAAATTTATTTTCAATTTAGCAGGGTATGCCTATCCTTGTCATGAATATCTTCCTTCTGATCAAGTCCCCAGTTCCATTCCCTTAGTTCAAGTACTCCTCCCCTTTCCCCTCTCAAATTCCCCGTCCTGTCAACGTCCTTATTTTCTAGTATTATGGCTGTCGTCCTAAAACAAATTTCTAAAGCAGTGGAATGCAAGTTACTTAACCTTGCTTTTTAGGACCTTTTCTCTGGTCCTAGATGGGATCTTATTATTAATTATGAAGCTGAAGTTTCTAGTCTTTCTGAAGACCTTAGAACCTATTACTGGCACCACCATTAATTTCGCTTATCTACTGTCCTGGCTAGTCTCCACAGGACCACTACTCTCTTCCTGCGCAACTTTCTCGCTCGCTGGCGGCGTCTACTACTCCCTTCCTACAGGGAAATTACTCTTCCCCCTCCCACCTCCACCCACCTCCATTCCATTTCGCTGGAGGGAACTTCCACTTCCCCGCGGAACCCTCACCCGATCTACTCCTCGAGGATTTCTTTCCTCGTGTCCCGGGGATCTTCAGATCCACAAGCTGCGGGGTCCGGTCTCGGGTCTCTGATCCCAAACTAGCGGGGGGGGGGGGGGGGGGCGACCGGGCGCAGCGGTTCCTCCCCCGAGACGGTTCAAGGTCTCGGCGGGTCCGACCCTCGGAAGACCCGCCGCTCGCCATCTCCGCAGGGGCCCTTCCCCTCCGGACGGCCGCCTTTCTCAGGAGACTTCTCACCCGGCTCAGTGCCTTTCCTCAGACGTCCCACTCGGACCCAGGCCGCCCCCTGTCACTCCGGACCCCGGCCGCCCTCGGGCTCCCCACCTCCCTCTCTCTCCGATAGGGGCCACTCCCAGTTCCCTTGACCCCCAGCTCTGGCCGCACCCGCTGCTCCGGAGCTTTCGGGGGCTCCCCCTCTCACTCCCAAGTCGTCCTAGTTATTCCCAAGTCACCCAGCCCTCGGACTAGTCACCCTGGGTCACCCCCCTCTCTCTGGGACCCCAGTCGCTAACGTCTCCTCAGGGAGCTACCTCTCACACAGCCGCCCGCAGTCAGCGCCCCAGACCCGAGCAGCGGGATGTCCCAAAGGACCTCCCGGCCTGACCCGCTGGTGTCCGGCGCCAGCCTACCTTCCCAGCGCGAACTCCAGGAACCGGGCCATTCTCCCACCAGCCCAGTCAGGGAGAACTCGCCTCCGCCCTGGCCCCGGCCCCAACCCGGCCCGTAGTCCAGGCCCCCTTCCTTCGGCCTCCGCCTCCAGAGCGCTGAGCTGGAGTTTCCACCCCACCACGGCCTCCAAACCTGAGGCCCACGTTACAGCACTCACCTGCCGGGGCCCCCGACCAACTCCCGGGCTGCTGCCTCTACCTCGGCCGCCAGTAGCCACCAAGCGCCACCACCTCCCCCATGACAACAGGCCCACCCTATATCATACTTCCGACCTATCCATTGGACCGTGGGGCGGCGGCTCTCTGCTATGATTGGTTCAATTTACCCGCCCATCATCGCGTCTTTAACGCCCCTTTTCCTGGACCGTGTATTCGCCCCCGCCCGGACCTGGAGAGCCTTAGACCAAGCTTTATTTGTAATTGGTTGATAGTTGGGCAGTTCGAAGTTTTGATAGGCTGCTTGAAGTGTCTGTTAAGTTAACTGGCAAAGGATGTGACCACCACGGTTGGTTCAAGCTTGTGCAGTTTGGTTGCGCAGTAGAAAGCAAAGAAGGGGCAGACGCTCACACCCGAGGTTTCTGGGGAAGGGTTAACTCTTTGTTGTGGAATGAAAACTCTTCCCCTTCTCCGGCTCCCTTCCTACAAGGCGAAGCTTATCAGTGCCAACTTACTCATAGAGGTAACCCTTGCAAAACACCAATACCAGAGGTTGTGCTTAAGAAGTATTTCTAATCCCCTGGAAGAAAGGTACTGTAGAGATAAAATTTTCCCCTTTGCTTGAGGTCCCAATGCTCCCAGTTTCCTTGAAGTTCTTTTCGGGAATCTCCATGCTAAAGGGCAAAGAGCAGCCTTCTATTTAGCAGCAAACAGTCCACTTCAGTTGCGATTATATGAGTCGTCAATAAAATGAAGTGTAACCTCGAGAGCTCTCCAGCTTCCAGACCCACTCCTAAAGGGCTTCTGACAAGTGACCAGCCAGTCATCAGCAAGTTTTAAATAAGCGGGCCACATTTTACCCTTGTGGATGTTCTGGAAATAAGAATTCCTGCCCCCTCCTCTCCTTCCATCCTTGCTTGGTTTTTTTTGGTTTGTTTGTTTTTTTTTTTTTTTTTTATGTTCAGCAGTTTTTAAATAGTCCTACTAGCTGTGTGTCAGATACTTTAAAAGCTTGTGTTTTTTTTTTCTAAACCTCTTCCTAGCAGTCTAAATTAGAGCCATTGAATGAATTGCAGTGTTTGTTTGTTTGTTTTTTTTTTCTTTTCTGTCTCTCTTGGCACAATGCACAAGAATAAATGATTGCATTTTTTATTCATTTGGGTACAAATCACAGTAGGCATTTTTGAGAAATCTGGTGTTGGTATAAAAACTCTTGTGCTCCTAGAAATATATTCATCATTAGCTTTTTTGCTTTTCTTTTTCATTTCCACCCACTTTTCCTGCTCCTGAATAAGAAAATGCTGTCCTAATTACTCTTTGAATTTTTAAATCACATTTAAATTTACCTTCTTCACATATCTACCTATATACTAAGCAAACCCACAGACCTTGAAACATACACGAACTCCATCAAGGATCTGTTCACCTCACAAGCACTACTTTATGATTGGGATCTTTCTGTGGGACCAAGAATCTGGACTTTGGAAATTTTGTACTTTGCCCCTACCTTCTTCCTGCTAACTCTTTGTTCCTGTCTATTTTACTTACTAACCTATCCTTTGCAGAGCAAGCTACAAGGAAACTAAAACTGTATGGTTTGTTATCCAGAAGAAAAAATAATTTTCTAACTTATATTTTTAAAAATTAAATAAATTACACACTTCTATCACCAAACCAAGTGGAAATTATTCCTCCAGTAACTATACATAAAAAGTGTCTTTTCCTAGTTATTTTCCGGAACTTTACTCCCCCTTCTCTCATCCTCACCTTCCAATTTAGAAATAACCTCCCATTCAATTCACTGACTCAGAAAAAAGCCCATAAAAGGAAAGTGAAAAAGCCAAAATAACTTCAGAGATGTCTGAATCATTTACTTAAAGGAAAGATCAGACATTGACCATGATAAGCTGGAAGTCAAGATGAAAGCCTTAGCTAACATCCCACAATAAATGCAGTAACATGCAAATGTGAAGATGTCCCAATGAGAAGGAAACAGCAATGCATTCTTTCACACAGCCTTTTAATATATCACCAGCAGCTTTCTTCTCTCTAGCCTTGGCAGTGTGCTATACTACCAATTTTAGAGCAAGCTAGAAGGCAATTAATGTCCTGGCAGATAGGAAACAATAACGTCATAGGAGGGAATAGCCATTATTATGGTACTTTGAGTAATAATGGCTCTTGCACAGCCACAGTGACTTGGTGCCATAGAGAACATAGAATTAGGCCAGTCTCACTAAGAGGACCTGCCATCTAAGTTTAGGAACTCAACAAAATTACTATCACAAAATGTGGGGGGAAATTGCACAAAGGTCAGTTATTCATCCTGATTCAAACACTTAATGGCTTTCATAAATGCTTTTGTTCATACATGTATATGTACTTTTATGACTGCCATTCTTTGTGAAAATCAGTTAAGAAAGAAAATGTAAAGTAAATACATAAACCCAGTAAGAAGGAAAGCCTTTTTTATAAAACATGAATGTTTTAAAATGCTTGGAACTAACAAAAGTCTATTGTGTTATCAAAGACTGTCAGTACTGAAGAGATTATTCCTTGAACCATACATTTTGATCTTCTGTGCACGAAGTAACCTTGTAATGTAATTACTCCATCCAGCTTCTCTTTTCCTTCCTGTGTTCTGTGCCTCTCCCTGACTCTTGGGGCCCCCTCTTAGAAAGCAAGAACACTGGAGTCTGGGAGTCTGGGGCTTTGTGTTATGTGGCAGGCTGTGTAGGTGGCAAAGATGGTATCTGTTCAGAGCTACTGGAGCAAGACTAGGATGGCAGGTATATGAAGGGCAAAAAAAAAAAAAAATAGCCTTTATAAATCCAATTAAGTGGAAAATGGAGGATTCAGAGCCATGTCTCAATATCTGAAGAGTGATATGGATGTTTTGGGCTTTGGTGGGTAGTAATGCTACTTCTTCTCCAGCTCTCTTTTCATAATGTCACTTTGCAAGAGAGCAGAATCCAAATCTCCTTTCATATCTATTTTAGTCCAGAGAAGCAAAATCTCACCATGGCAAAGTTCTGTTTTTTATTTTTGGGATCTCCCCCATATTGCACCCCCCTCACTCCCCAGTATTCTATACACAATTCTAATTCCAATTCCAACTGGATTTGAGAAACAAACAACTGATGGAGAAGAAAATCACTCAGAAAGCAGACAAGGGCCAGAGCTGTCTGCCACTAGCAGTTGGAAGCAAGCCAAGATACTGGATAAGAGGTGGTTTCCTGGTTAGGAATCCCAGAGGGTGGAGGCAGAAGGGAAGTGGGAGAGAGAGATGGCCAGGAAAGACAAGACAGAAAAAGAGAGACATTGGGTCAGGAAAATAGAAGGTAAAGAAAACTAGAAAGAGAATCCAGAAGCCCAACTTGAGTGCTGAGCCAGCTTTGAGCCCTGCTCCAACCCCTCCCTGGCTGTGGACTTTACACCAGGTTGCATAATTGCACCAGCAAAGCACAGTCTCTGCCACTGGTTAAAAGGGGAAGTGTGCCAGGGCTCCAGCCTATGAGACTGTTCTTCTGCCACCTGGAAATCCTCTGTGAGTTCAAAGCCTACTGCTCTGGCACTAAGGCAGACTGACAAGGAAGGATAGATTCATGCAGTCAGCTGAGGTCTGTATCTTCATAAAGGAGACCACTGGCAAAAAAAAAAAAAAAAAAAAAAAAACTCTGACTAAACAAAGGCAGATTATCTGGGAGAAGATGTTTTTACCATCCCAACCCGGGCAGCCAGGCTGCTTTCCACCTTGGAACAAGGTACTGTAGTTTCAAGGTTTAAGGCTCTGTTTCCTGGATGGGAAGAAAGAAAACAACAACAACAACAAAAAAAGACAATGGAAGGGGCTGTTCTCTCAGGCAGAACCATTTGCTTTCTAATTCCAGGGCTTGTGTGACTTTTAAATACTATACTATGCTTTCTTATTACTAAGTACATTTATTTTCATCCTCAAGGGGAAAAAAAAAACAAAAACAGGAGGCTGAGGCAGGACCATCCTCAGCAATTTAGCAAGGACCTAAGCGATTTAATGAGACCCTGTCTCAAAAAATAAAAAGGGCTGGGGATATGGCTCAGTGGTTAAGCACCCCTGGGTTTAATCCCCAGTGAAAACAAAACAACCCACCTTGCATATTATAAGTAAGATGACTTTAAGGGCTTATAAAATAGATAGGCAATTAGCTCTTAGCTCTGCCATTGTGCTTATTGAAAGAAGCCCCTAGTTACTATCACCAGATCTATGGGTGGATCCGCCATTCTTCTGCAGCAGGGAGTGGGCTGTACAAAGTACTTAGCACCATTTAAACTTTTGTTCATTCCTGTTTTACATGCGCACAAAGAGTTTCCTGGAAACATGGCTACTCTCCAAGGTTTCTCAGAGTAGAATGCCTTCTAGAACTCCAGTGACCCAATCACTTGGAACCTCATAAAATAGTAGACTCAAACTCGGACTCTCAAACCTAATGAATTAAAATGTGTGTGTGTGTGTGTGTGTGTGTCTGTGTGTATATCCTGGCTCTGCCATTTACTAACTGTGACTTTTTGAAAGTTAATTCATCTCCCGAGGCTTCGCTTTCTTCCTTAAGATGTGTATTAGCTATCTTTTGATCTTTTGCTGTGTAACAAATTCCCCTACAATTTAGTAGCTTGAAATAACATTAGACAAGCATGGTGGCCCACATCTATTATCCAAGTTACTCAGGAGGCTGAAGCAGGCCAATCACTTGATCTCATGAGTTTGAGACTAACTTGAGACTAGTGAGACTCCCATCTCAAAAAAAAAAAAAAAAAAAATCTCTAACTAGTGAGACTCCCATCTCAAAAAAAAAAAAAAAAATCACAATCACAGCATTTATTCATTTATTATCTCAAAGTTTCTCTGGGACAGAAATCCTGTTGTGGCTTAGCTGGGTTCTCTAGCTCTGGGTCTCTCAAAAAGACTACAGTTGGGTCTGGGGATGTGGCTCAAGCGGAAGGGCGTGTGCCTGGCATGCGCCTGGCATGCGTGCATCCCGGGTTCGATCCTCAGCACCACATACAAACAAAGA